GAGCAAGGCTTTGGGCATGTTTTTATAAGAGTATAACATTATAACATGATATAAAACTCAAAAAAGTTGATTTTAAATATAAAGCTGTTTTTTTTTTTACTTTTTGTAGTTGAAGGTTCTACATGTCACAGGAACTTTAATGTGTTGAAAACATTTGTGCAACAACTTTATTTTTTTTAATGATCACAAAGTTGCTGTAAACAGTCTCACTCTGAATCAAATGTCTTCAACCTGACTCAAAAGCACCTAGAGCTAAAAAGTGATGGAGCGATCTGCATGTGAGAGTTTACAAGCTTGGAACTCCATATTTTTCTACTGGAAATTTTTTTTTATCTTTGGATGAGAAGCAAAATGTGAAGAAAAAAATAAAAAATTGTAGTATGACTTTGCCCTGTATTTATTTTTTATTTATTTATTTATTTAGATCCCATATATGATCGAGAACCTCCACAAACATAACCGTGTTACCTCACCTTTGCAAAAGCTGCAAAGCTGTTTTAATAAAACAACTAAAGCTTTATATTTCACTGTTTTTGTGGGTTTTGTTAGCGATTTAAAACCAAAAATCCAAACATGCTATATCATAATTTTCTCCTTTTTAAAAAAGTTCAAACACATTTATTTTTTTAAGAAGTTGAAATCCACGATGATTCTAACAAACTCGGACTTCTCTGCTGTGTTTCCTGTTTGCAGCAAATTGATTACCTAATATCCCAATACGCCACCGCCAAGAACAAAGTCATCTATGACCTAGATAGTAAGTAGACCTTCTTCTCGCCTCAGATCGTGAATTAAGTGGGCATAAATGATTCAGTAAGTTCTTACACTTGGTTGTTTATTTATTTATTTATTTATTTATTTTTCCCATCTCGCTACTGATTAGCGACATAACTGGGTCTAGATCGTTACAGCTCTGACTGTTATGAAGGCTCCCCTGAGAGGATTCAACTTTTTCTTTTTCTTGAAAGTTAGGACTTGTGAAACATTGAGGCTTTTATTGTACAATTAAAAATGTTTTCTTTGAGGTTTAGATTAGACGTTTCTGCAGAAGAACTTCACTGAGAACAAACAAACATTTCACAGCCTAGAATTAAAACACTGGTTCTGACCTGGAGCTTCTTTTCTCCCAGACATAGGTCCGTTATTAGGAGGAAAAATACACGAGCAGCTGGATAAGGAGGTCCGCCCTGCCTTGGATCAGGTGCTTAACATGGCTGGAGGTACATGCATTCATTTATAGYTCTTCTTATAGGCATAATTTGACTGCAAATAGTTTCAGGATCTGTTCCTGCATAATTGAAACTGAATGAAAGTAGCTATTTTTTTAATAATTTAGTTTTCTTGTAAGCACATCTTTTACGTTTCCTCATAATGTTTACGTTCTGCTTTTCACAAAGTGAAAATCCAGAGAGCCATCAAAGGTAACAATGTCTCAGTAACAGATCTACAGTTTGTTGATCCCTGACTGCTGTTTGTTCCTTCTGTTTTATCCTTAAATATTTGGACTTTTCTAATACATATTAATAATTTAATAAAAAGTTATAACGCTAAAGCTGCACTTTGCAACATTTTATTGTTTTAACCACAGGTGGTGCTTAATCATGATGCCAATTAAAATCCGCATCTCTAAATTTAAATCTGGTCCTCTGAGATTTACGAGGACGTCACTGAAAATTATCTTCAGGACTGTTTAGTTGCAGTTTTCAAGTTTGATGTTTTTATCTCATTAAAGTTAATGCTCTGGTGATTTGGTTGTTTTTATTAACTCGAACAGCATAAAGACAAATCTTGCCTGGTGCAGTTTTCAGAGAACGCCATCTTTAACTTTAACCTGCATCTGAATATTTCAGCTGTGGTTCCCCCTCTGTAAGGTGTTYGTTCAAATGTCTGTCTAACCTGTTATTTTATATCAACTAAAACTTTGAATGATGAGAAATCTGCATGTTTGTTGCACATCTTCAACAACTAAAGAAAGGCAGGTAAACATGTTAGGAGTTCATGTAATGYAAAAGCTTTTTCACTTATTTTAAAAAGGTTGAAAACAGAACGTTATGTTTAACTTTAACTAAACAGAGTTTTAACACGTCCTCTTTATAAACACTGAAAAGTACTATGTGTGCGACTGACTAAACCTGAAATAAATAATATAGTAATACTATTAAACGTAGTGAGTAGCTGCCATCTTGAATTCTGAACCCAGGGCTGATCGACATGCATTATGGGAGATGTAGTTTAAAGCAGAGGTTCTTAACCTTTTTAACCCCGGGGCCCAATTTGTTCAACATAAAGTGACACGAGGCCCAGTCAGACATTACCATATGGATCAAAATGATAATTATTCTAAACCTTGGTTTAATTTGTATTGTATTTGCATTATAACTAAATAAAATACATTTAGTTTTTAAGTAAAACTCCTGTCAAATAATCACAAGACATGATTATGACAAACATTTTTTTATATTGTAACCTGCCCACAACAATTATTTGAACAAACACAACAGTCAACRGACCACTCAGTCTTATCAACACAAAGATAACATTTTTAACATAAACAACAAAAAAAGACAATTCAATGAATAAAATTGTGCTCATAAAATAAACACATTCAAAAAATATTTAATGTAAATGTTCCAAATTAAAAAAAATCTGTAAGAATATATTTGATAAAGTGCAAATGAAAATAAAGCCTTTTTAAACTTTTGCATGGTAGAACCAGAAGCTGCTTTTCATATTAGTGTAAAAACAATAACAGTAACAACACCTTTTTGACAAAATGCTTAAAAATAAATTACAAAAATTAATTTGATAAAGCGCTAATTAAAATAAAGTTGTATCTGCAACTGTGTTTGATAATGTTTTGAACTTTTAAAATATTACATGGTAAAACCAGAGGCTGCTGTTCATATTAGTGACAAACTTTGGCATTTTTTGATGGATTACCTTCATTTTTGCTTCTACTTTTAATTTAAAATAAGTTTCCATTCTCGGCAGGTTCCTAGGGTTCTTCTTCTACATATTAAAAAAGTTGTTAAACATCTTAGTGGCGCACTACCGCTACTAGTGGTGAGAAAGTGTATTGCGCCTTATTCAAAATCAATGCGGTCCCACGGCCCTCTGTGGCCCAAAGTTAAAAACTGTTGTTCTTTTGAGGCTGTCAAGGTGGCGCACCCATAGATTAAGAATCTCTGGTTTATAGCAGCTTGCTTTAAGGTATTATTACTGTGCTATCCAGCTAAATTGCTCAGTTACTTAAAGCCAACAGTTCAGAGGAATAACAAATATAAACTTTCTCTGTTTAAATTTGTTTATTTTGTTGCATTTAAAGTTTACCATTGACAGATGCAACAATTTTCATATTAAGTAAAAAATAATAATAATAAAATAAAAATTGGGGGCCAGACGGGAGTCACCCGGAGGCCACATTTGGCCCGCGGGCCTTGAGTTTGATATATGTGGCTTAAAAGCTCAAACCTCACAGGGTTTCTGCTAAAGCAAACAGTCAAAGGATGCTGGTTTCCTGCAGTTTCTTCTTCCTCATAAAACAGCTTAAATGCTAAAATTCTGTGACAGATTTTAACATTTTTCTTGCTATTTGTTCTCGGCTCCTTTTTTACAAGCTGCTGCAGGATATTCTGATTGTTTACAACACTGGCTGCTGCCCAGACAAACCTTCAGRGGAAAAAAACGAAACAAGTTCCCCAATAACAACATTAATAATAGAAGACAACAAATTTCCATTTTTTTAAATTCACCGACAAAAAATAAATCAAAAAAATATGAAAAACCTCACACACTCTATTTCTGGATGCAAACCAGCAGCATGGTTCTGTAATTTCGATGAATCAAAAATTACAAGTTATGAAATTGATCAAACCTCGTCTGCCTGAGTGTTTTTATATATATTTTTTTCTTCACAACAGAAGCCTCCACCTCCGGTCTCATCTGTGTTCTGCTTGATTCCAGCCATGCGAGAAACCAAGGAGGCCCTGGAGAACGTCAGCGCCTCTCTCGTGGTCCTGCAGGAAGGCGTGGCCAAGCTCGACTTCAACCTGAGCCAGGTCCGCGGCAGGATCAACCGCACCCTCAACGACCCCGGCTGCCACGACGAGGAATCGGACGCCACCACGGCCCAGCTGTGCCACAACATCCGCCAGTCGCTGTCCCGGCTGCACGTCGGAGCCAATTTCACCCGGGTACAAAACGACTAAAACACAGGCTGACACCGAGAGCATGAACCAAAGTGTTTATTACCTTCAAAAACGCTTACGTCTTTTTAATGAGCAGCCATCAGATCGGTTAAAAGACTGAGCAAGTAAAACAAATCTGAATAAAACATCTAATATCTGCAGCAGCTTGCTTGAAAAAATAAGTTTTTTTTCAGTTGTGCATTAAACTATTTCTTCTTAAATGAATTTCAGTGAAAAAAATATTTTCCTCTAAAATCAGTTTTACTTTTTTTGTTATTGCTCTCCACTCTGCAGCTTTCTTAAAACTTTTTTAGGTTTAATTAAATAGTAAAGTGTATTTTTCCACACAAGTAAAGTTTGTGTCACCACATTAAAAGGTGAATTAGGAAGGAAGAGGATTTAGTTAGAAGGTAAAAATGAGCTCCTGACTAGAAAATAAAGGTTATCTTTTAACTTCAAATAAAATATTGCCTCTAAAATATTTAAGAGCCATTTCTGCTCCTTGGCTCACTAATAAAATGTGTCCAGAGCCGCAAAACAAGCTACAACTGTGATTATCAACTGGTGGTCCCTGGGCCTTTTCGAGGCCTTTTCGGGAACCTTTACGGCCAATGAAGGAGACATTATAAAACTAAAAAATATACTGTGAATTTTATTATTTATTATTATTTTTACACATCAGGACAAATGAAAAGACCAGATTCATGTAAACAAGAAGAAATATTGTATAAAGTTTATACCGAATTTCATACAAACTAGTACAATTCAGGCATTTTTTTCTCATTCTTATTATGTAGTTTTCAAAAATTTTAAAGGTCATTCTAGTGGATTTAACAGAAAAATCATAAAAGTTGAATTACTTAAAGGCACAGTGTGTAGGATTTTGTCAAGTCTTTTAGCCGAAATTGAGAAAATCACTGACAATAATAAAAAACATGTCTAATCATTGCAGACAAAGACCTTGTTTTATTATTTTTACCTTTATAAAAAGCTGTTTATATCTCCATGGTCGCGGGTCGCCAAACAGGCAGCCTCCATCTTGCACCGCCATCTTGTCTACGAAGGCTCATGAAGGACAAACTGCGGTGGCGGCGTCAAAAACGGTTTTAGTTGTAATACTATAAATGTAATATTTGTTGTCTGTCATTGTAGCTGGGATAATTTTACTTATTAAAGCTCATAATCTTACCACTTGAAACATCACTAGCCCTGAAGCTGCTGGTAGACATCGCGGTTGGAATTATCAAAGGTTTTTGACACCTGAGAGACACCGTAGMAACTCCTTTGTGTTTGGAAAGGGGGTGGGGGGAGGACCAGGGAGGATGATTCAACCATTCAACCACTAGATGTCGCTAAAAACTACAAATCCTACACACTGTGCCTTTAAGAAAACAACAGGCTAGCATGAGCTAACAAGTTTTTTATTAGTAGTATTGATCATGAATTTGCGTACAAATTGATTTATTTTTTAAATATAAAAAAACAAACAAAAATAGAATACTTAAAGCAAAAAAAATAAAACCTAAATGTAAAATAAAAGATATTTTTACAAACTTCAGCTCTCTCAAGAAAATAATCTTATAWATCAGACCAGCTATAAGGAAAATCTTTGCAGCTTGTCAGATCTTGACCTGTTTATTTCAGCTCCCCAACGTGAACCCGCAGCTGGAAAAGATGAACAACGTGATGAAAACAGATCTGAGCTCAGTTGTCCAAAGGGTGAGTGTGGAGGAGCTCTTATTTTTTACCGTTTAATAACATTCAAATTTTAAACTCAACGCTTGTCAAACCTCAGCGAAACATCAAACCCAATTCTCTTCCCAGGGTTTCTCCTCGCTGAACGACACGCCACACATGGTGATAGAACAGACCAGAAGTGTTGTCAGCAGTGAGTCCTCATCGAAACGTTGTATTTTCAGYTTGATGCAGGCCTGTCTTATCCGTGTAAAGCCGAAATGATAAACGTGTGTGTCCTTCAGGCGTACAGAATCTGATGGACGACGTCGGCAACAACATCAGCAGCTTCTCCAGAGCGTTCCCACTGCAGACCTGTCTGTCCAACTTCACCATCCTCATCAACCACGTGCACGCAAAGATCGAAGACTACTACCCTGAAATAGACAAAATGGACTTTTACAGGTAAYGGAGATTTCAAAAAGCATTTTTTTWACTTCGTGTTTGGTTCACAACGGTAAAAATGTTGTTTTATGAACTACAGAAGAGCTAAAAAAAAACAATTGCTTTCAACAGATACTAAAAATGTGCAAAAAAAGTGTAATAAAAATCTAAGCGATTTATTTTAAATTGCACACTAATGGGAAACAGATAAGAACCAGAAGTAATTTCATTAGTTTTGTGTTTTATGAGAAGAAAAATAAATTAAAAACAGTTTATTTTTCTGTTAGTTATGAATTTAGGCAACGTTATATAAGTTTACTGAGCACAGYTGTCAGGCTAAAGGAACTTGGAGTTAGCAAACTTAATCTTGACATATCCTGCAAAAATCCACTGTTTTATCTGTTAAATACATTTTGTGAATTCAGAAAAATGGAAAGTCTTCGGAAAATGTGAATTTAGTCTCCCCTGGTGCTGCAAACATATCTTTATATTCTGTTTGGGTCAGATTTTTCAGCCTGTTCAGTTTTCTCTGTTTTCTCTGATGTTTTCTCTCTGCCTATTTAAATCATTTAGTAAAGCGATTCAGGCTGTTTTGGGGTTAAAACACATTATAATGCGTTTACTGTGATTTACATTACTTTCCTGTTTTCTTTGTAYTTACTCKGCACCYTTTCTGTTCCACGTCAGTTCAACAACGAAGAAAAGGTTTACTTTTATTCCCCAGTTTTTCCAAAAGTAACAAAAAAATGTACATTTTACATAGTACGACATACCTGAATGTCCTAATTTTCCAAATTTGTAGTCATACGAAAAAGTTTGGGCAGTCTTGTTAATTTTCCTGATTTACCTTTATAAATCATTGATTGTTTGGATTAAAAAAATCAGTTAAATATATCATATAGGGGACAAACAGTGATATTGGAAAGGTGAAATGAAGTTTATATGATTTACAGAAAGTGTGCAATAAATGGTTTAAGAAAATTAGGCAGGTGCATAAATTTGGGCACCGTTTTCATTTTATTGATTTCAAAACCTTTAGAACWAATTATTGGAGCACAAATTTGGTTCGGTAAGTTCAGGAAGTGTTTAGAGGCTATTATTTCTGTGAAAGGAGGATCTACTAAATATTGAGGTAAGGTTTTTTTATGGTGCCCAAATTTATGTACCTGCCTAATTTTGTTTAATCAGTTATTGCACACTTTCTTTAAATTATATAAACTTCATTTCACTTCTCTAATATCACTGTGTTTGTCCCCTATATGATTTATTTAACTGATATTTTTAATCCAAACAATCAATGATTTATAAAGGTAAATCAGGAAAATTAACATGGCTGCCCAAACTTTTTCATATGACTGTACCTGGTCATGTGCACCTGTGTACTTCACTAGTTATCTTTTGTGTTAGATCGAATTATGTAATTTTATTTTGGGGGTTATATTGGCCAAATCAAATTATTGTGGGGGTCATTAAGCCCCCACCCCCAAAAACTAAAGTTAGACTAAAGAGGAATTCCCAACTGAAGAGCCCAACTGGATGATTTAAATGTKAAAGGGAAGGATTTAAAATCATTATACGTCGACTTTATTTCACCTGTTAAACATGTGCAGGGTGGAAGAAAATGGAAATAATTTCAGACCATAGTCTTGACKTTAGGAGCTAAAGTTCTGCCTGCGTCATGGCGGGACACCCTGACCCTGAGCTGTGTTCGGTTCTGCTGGATGTTCCCAGGTGGATCGGCTGCATCGCTCTTTGCTGCATGGTGGTCCTGGTCTTGGCCTTCAACTACCTGGGTCTGCTGTGCGGCACTCTGGGGTACGACAAACACGCCTCGCCCACAACACGGGGATGCGTCTCGAACACAGGGGGGACCCTTCTCATGGCGTAAGACCACCTTTTAAAAGGACCAGCTCAAGTTCTTSTCATTGCTATCAGATTAGCTGCTAATGTAGGACAAGCTTTGGCTATAATTCTATATATCGCCCAGCAGTTACAGCACAGTCACTGATACGTCTGTCTGCTCCCCAGTGGTGTTGGATTTAGTTTCATCTTCTCCTGGGTGCTCATGGGAGTGGTGACAGCCATCTTCTTGGCTGGAGGGAACATGGAGAAACTGGTCTGTGAGCCGTTCCACACYAAAGAGCTTTTTAAGGTAAATCAATACGACTAAAGCCTTACAGAACAATAAAACTTTCACTAACACCAAAGTTCAGGWTAACTTTTAATGGTTGTTTTGATCATTTTTTAGACAGAACACTTTTCTAAAACCTACACAGAGTCTTTGTAACTATATTTTTTTACAGTGTTTGTAAATCTAGTCTATCCTTGTCCAATCCTTGTCTTTGAGGTCCACTGTCCCGCAGGTTTTATACGAGTCTTTGCTTCAACACGATTTTAAAAAAAAACACACTTTTAWAAACATCTCATTTAGCTCTTTTTTTGCTTGCAGCAAAAAAAAGGGTTATTAGAAACAGCTGAAACTGGTCTGAAGTGAAATTTYTGTTCTATCAACAATAATGTTGATAAAAATACGGAGCCCCCGAGAGGACACGAAAGGATTTCTTTTCTTTGCGTTCCCGCGCAATACTTTGTTTTTTATGAACTGAATTAAATCAGGCTTTTATTTTGAAACAACCAGATGCCAAAAACGGATTTGTCAGCACAAGTTCAGGAAGCTGACATTGATACTGCGTGGCTGCACTGAGTTTAAATATCTGCACATTACATACTTYCATACGTGGCTGCTAACTCACTAATCAGAGGTGTCAAGTAACTAAGTACAAATACTTTGTTACTTTACTTAAGTAGTAATTTTGGTTATTCATACTTTAGTGGAGTAATTATTTTTCAGCCTACTTTTTACTTCTACTCCTTACATTTTATTTCAATAATCTGTACTTTCTACTCCTTACTTTTTAAAAGTGCAAATAGTGTTTTATTTCTATTTAACTTTGGCTTGTTTTTATTCCATCTTTCCATTGTTCAGAAATAAATAAATAAATAGAAATCTACCCAGATGCATGGAGCCCATGGATAGAGTGAATTTGATTGTGGTTGGATGAGAAGTGTAAATATAAATATATACCATTCTGACACCCTATTGGATTAAATGCGCTCCACCAGACCTGTATGACAGAAATCCCATCACATTCCACCAAGACATAGCAGATGCATGTCACCTAGAATGAAGATAATTATGGCTGAAACACTTAGTCCAGTCAATTTCAAATTTTTCAACATTAATATTTTGATTTAACATTATACTCATTATTGACTTTAGAAAAATTGGAGGGGTTGTACGCTTTATGCTGTGCGCACAGCCTAAGCTTTTATCCTAAATTGTTCATTACTTTGTGGTTTTGAAATGAGTACTTTTATACTTTTATTTGAATAAAAAGCCTGATACTTCTACTTCCAAAAAGTATTTTTAAACCCTAGTATCTATACTTCTACTTAAGTAATGAATGTGAAAACTTTTGACACCTCTGTCGCTAATAGCGAACATGTGTGTGGGGTAATAAACCTGCAGGTACAGCATTGATAAACAACCTTTGTGAGGGAATGTAAAAGAAAGAAAATCCCCCGTCCCCTCGTGAACTCTGTATAAAAATGGAAATTTTAACTCCTTAATTAAAACAATTCAAACTGAACCTGATTCTTGCAGCTTTTACTCTGAGCCTTGGTTTCTGCTTTGTTACGAGAAATCAGAGTAATGTGGACTAACGGCTTGTTTGAGAAAAGTTTTAGTTTTACCATTACAAAAAACTGTAAAAAAAAAAAAAGCATTCATATGTTTGGTTATTTTTACACTGCCAACTTTATGTAAAATTTAAACTGAGAACAGAAAACAGAGGAAAAAAACTGCATCATGAAGGTTTCCTCCCCTGCTCCCTGTGTCCGTCAGGTTGTCGACACGCCTTATTTAATCAACCACGAGTGGAAGAATTTCATCCCTGGCTACTTGTACAACGATTCCAACTTGGAGCTGACAGCAGAAAGTCTGTACAGGTAAAGAAAATGAATATTCGTCCATTTACCGAGGAACCTCTCATTTCTTTAAACGTTGCCTCCCGACAGATTGAGCTGCAATTTTTGTTTCTTTACAAACATCAATAAAATATATTTTAGATTTTTTTTAAACAACATAAGCTGATCAAGCTTTTGTTTATGACACACTGTCACTGGCATGTGAGCCCAATAGAGCAGCCAATGCTAATGCTAACGCTAACCATACAGACTTTAATCCAGGGAATAGGATTGTGGGATTTATGTGCATATTAAAGAGAATGATAAAAGTTAGTTTTTTGAATGAATATGGAAAAGCATAATGTTAATCCATATGAATTGTCTGAGTTGATGTTTTTCATTTAGCTTAGCTTTTTTTGTAAATTACTCTTGTTTGAATATATTCTTGGGATAATAGGGGCAGATATAAGATTTTTTTTCTTCTTTCTGCTTTTCATTTTATTTGATCTTTGATTGGTACATTTTTGTTTTCTGTTGTATTTTTTTAATGAAATGATTACATTTCTAAAAAAAAACTTGCATATTTTAGTAACATTTCTATATCTGGACCTACAATAAACACCAAAATTATCAAAAATAACGAAGAATATAAGYCTAGTTGTTGTACCAACAAAGTTTTATTCAAAGCAAATAAAAAGCAGACAAAATGAACACATGTTTTAGTTTTATTCAGCTGAATAGATCATTTAGATGAGAAGGCAAATGAACAGTTTAGCTGCTAACCCGCGTAGCTAATTATTGTCATTTCTGCACCATCAGTGCTGCTTTTCTACAGAGTTTTTTTTTCTTTTTGTGATTGCACGAGCTTTCATCATCCCCCTCTGAGACGAGGGTTCATCGGTACGCTGGGATGGCAGAGCCACAATCATTATATTTACAAACAGAGAAAATCATTAAACAGAAAGCACAAATCACACAGTGAGACTGTTTGATGGATGGCTGCCAAACTGTTC